GCCACCACACGTATGCATTTCTTTAGCAGCTGTGCTGCGTGTAGTATTCCCTATTCTAAAGACAGGGGCAAGTGAAAGGAGCCTGAAGCTGCCCCTAGTGTTAACGGGACCATCTCATAAGTAATAAGGGTTATTAAAGGACCACCTCTCAGTGAGCTTATCCGTGAGACAGGTTCTTGCATAAACAGTATCTTTCCAGGTCACATTTCCCAATCAAGTTTAAAAGGCTGAGTATGTATTTGCATTCTAGATATTTTAGAATCTAAAGTCAAGAGTGATCTTACACAACCGTAACATTAATTCTTCTTACACGTATATTTTATCTCTTTCTTGTTTTTTTTTTTTTTTTTTTTTGCGGTACGCAGGCCTCTCACTGTTGTGGCCTCTCCCGCTGAGGAGCACAGGCTCCGGACACACAGGCTCAGCGGCCATGGCTCACGGGCCCAGCCGCTCCGCGGCATGTGGGATCTTCCCGGACCGGGGCACGAACCCGTGTCCCCTGCATCGGCAGGCGGACTCCCAACCACTGTGCCACCAGGGAAGCCCCTTGGTTTTTAAGTAGTAAAAGTCTGACAGTGATTAAGTCAACTTTTAGAGAAAACCAGAGCCCTTATCAGGAGTGCAGCTGGTAATTGTGTAAATCAAGGCCTTTCATTTTTAAAAGCATTACGTTCGTTCACGTCAAAACCCATTTGTAGTTTTTCGGCCCTCGATTTAACATGCACCTGGTCATACAGTGTGGGTCTCTCCTTCCTTTGAGGCATTTGAATATGCCTGAGGATCTGTGACAGGAGCAAGTAGACCAGAGATGAAAAGAGGAACCAATAATTCATTTCCACACCCACAGGCACCTGTCAGCACTTATTTAATTCTCACCCAACCCTATGAGGGAGGTTGCATTTTGAAGGTGTGAAAAATCAAGTACAGAAAGGGGAAACAATTTGTCCCAGAGGTCACTCTCTCCAGTTTAGCCTGGACTGAAGACACATCTGCCTAAGTCCAAAAACGGAGCTTCTCTCACTACAAATGCTGCTATGTCTGTATTCAAAGTCATTGCCATAGGATGATGAGGATTGAGGACTCAGACGGAGATGGTGACATCCTTTTTAGCCCCATGTCCTGCTGAAGGTGGTTGGGGACCTCACAAACCGTAGGTTCTATCAATCCAAAATGTGAAAATACCTTAATATTTGTAGGCAGGGATTTTACATCAAACTCCAGCTATTTAATTGGCCACAGTGCCAAGCATCCATCTCTTGGTAATATTCCCAGAATAACATCAGATAGCATTTAATCAGCCACAAAGTGACCCAAGGATGAGTTTAGCGAGGGTGGACTCTGGGGGGCATTGACGTTCTCTGCCCCCAGGGCCTCCTCATCATTCATTCTCCTTTTCAACATAAAGCTGGGTCCCACAGGCTACTGGCTGTAGCTAAGGACATTTCCATAATAAACTCAGTCGTTAAACCAAGCCGGACACCTCTGTTTTCTTTGCTGGCCAAAGGAATTGCTGCAGAACTGTCAACCCTTGCAAAAAGCCTTCTATACGTTCATCAAACAAATAAATAACCAAATAACCCATGTCATTTTTTAAAAAAAGTTCAGTTGCTGTGCAGCAGTGAACAGACACAAAAGGACCGGTTTATGCCTAGAAGGAAAAATGACCGTCTTCAAAGCAACCCGTTTGGTGGCAGTCATGATCATTAGGGAAAGTAATATCTGTTAAAAAGCAGTGAATGCCTGTTTCCAAACAGAATGGACTGGCATGCAGAGGAGGTGTGAACCCAATCAAACATCCCCAGGCTCCCCGGAGGGTCATTATGCTCTGTCGTGTTAACTCACTTCCTTCTTGATTTTTCCACTTTTTCTTTTTCTTCCCTGCTGAATATTATCATCTCAAATCAAATTAAGTACTAATAGTAAGTGGGCACAGCAATCACTTCAGAAAAGCAAAACATTCAGGCTCAAGAGGTTATATAAAAATATTATTTCTCATAATAAAGATTGAGAGCCCAGATGGAATTGTGAGAGAGTTCCAAGAACTCTCAGTTACAGCATCTTCAGTTGCTATAACTTCAGTTATAGCAACTGAAGCTGTTGTTCAGGTAACTAGTGGAGCCACCAACAAATAATAAAATCTAAATCATTTAAAAAGAGCACCCTCTCCTATCTGTACTCCAGCTCTCTTTTCAAATCCCGTCCTCTAGCTCTAAGATCTCTAGTTATTAATAATAATAGCAATAATGTATCAAGATGGGAAATAACTGTTGGATCGCTCTTTTCTTTGGTAAAATGGCACAAAACAGCAGTATGACACATTGGGAAATTTCAGAGTCTGACTCAACATGCTGATGGTTATCCAATGACTTTTTAATATTAAAAATGTCATGGATAGTTTATATTGGACTTGATTCTTCAAAGAGAATGGCTCCTCCAGTAAGATTTAACATATTGGTTTTTAAATATTATAAATTAAAGATGGCCCCTGAAATATATAACTATATGGAATAAACTTCTGCTATAACATGGCTGGTAATTAAGGTATGTCTTATCCATATGTTCCAAAACTAAGAATTCAATCTTAGTAAGTTGGCATTAGTATTCTATTTGGAAAATGAATTGTTATTTATTCTTTTTTAAAAGACAAATCAAGTTAAGACTATTGTTTAAGTTCTTGGCAACAAAGAAGAGCAAGGGTTATAAACAGAACTTTTCAATTTACTTTGTCATCTATAGGATTCCCTGAACTACTCAAACTAAATGGTAAAGAAAAAGAAGTCCTCTGAAATGCACTTTGTGAACAAACAAGATAAGAGAATGCACACCAGATAATTCTCCAGTTAACATAGCTTCTCTCTATCTTCCCAATTTCTATCCTGGGTCATATATTGGCAGGGTCTAGCTGATCTTGGTTGACACTGAAAGTGGTGATATTCCGCATCAACAGGTTTCTCTCACCAAAGGTGTCTGTAAATCATGAGTTAATTATACTGGAAAGAAAAGTGAGCAACTGAAAAGTAATCTGTTCCACTGAACTGGAAACGTTTGAGGGTATGTACCTAAGGAGGAAAGCATGGGGTACTGAGGTCAGTGTCAGGAGGAGGTGAACACAGATTTCAGATTTCAGGGAACATCGAAAGAACAAAAATTCACCTGTGTTAATGCTCTAAGGAAAAGCTATTTTCAGGTGGCTGATGAAAGCATTCTATGCTAAGCCGAAAGAGTAAACAATCGCAAGTACTGGTGTTAAGGACCCTAGAAAACTAGTTAAACGTCCTAATTTTATAGATGAGAACACTATGGCACCAAGAGACTGGAAGACTTATGTAAGATCACATTAAGAGCTGGAAGATGACCCAAATGTAAACATTGGTTCTCTTGAGTCTACGGTCATTGTCTCTTCTACCACCAATGAGACACTTCTTTATGATGTATGAGTTCTTTCAAGTCGAGTAATAAACTGTGCTAGGTCCTGCAAATATTCCTACCGATGTGCAGTATAAGATGCAAAAAATGAGATTTGTACTTATAGTACACAATGGTAAGAACTATTTATTTATTTTTTATTTATTTATTTATTTTTTTGCGGTACGCGGGCCTCTCACTGCCGTGGCCTCTCCCGCTGCGGAGCATAGGCTCCGGACGCGCAGGCCCAGCAGCCATGGCCCACGGGCCCAGTCACTCCACGGCATGTGGGACCCTCCTGGACCGGGGCACGAACCTGCGTCCCCTGCATCGGCAGGCGGACCCTCAACCACTGCACCACCAGGGAAGCCCAAGGACTATTTATTGACTGTTGCTCAGGCAAGGGCACCCGTCCTAGACTTACGGGGGCAACAAAGGCTTCTCAGTCGACCTAATATCTAGACTCGTTCCTTGAAGGAGAAGTAAAGATTACATAAAGGAAGAGAGAGGAGAAAGCTGTTTTACATGGAGGAAACAGCTGACACATGATTGGGGGTAAAGAGAGTTGTCGTGTTCGAGGAAGTGAAGGGAATTCAACGTGGTTGGATCACTGAGTGCTTGGGGTCGGGGGGTGAGAGACAGGGCAGGAAAAGTAAGCAGGGCTCACCAAATCCTGAAGGCCTTTATGCCTAGTTAAGGAATTTGGGATTTCTCTTAAGGTAACGGGCAGACAGAGAATTTTAAAACAGTAAAGTGCAGTGATTAGATTTGCATTTTGGAAAGAACATTATGACAGTTGAGTGAAAAAACAAATGATAGGGGAGGTAGGCACAGAAGGAATCAAAGCAGTTAGTCTGAGGTAGTAAGGCAGAAGATAAAGGACAGTCATCTAATAAAGTATCTAAGGGGGGTGGAGAGGGGTGTTTGGACTTCAGATATACAGGCCATAGAATTAAAATACTTGATGATAAATGAATATAAATAGATGTGGGTCATCAGTGAAAGGGTCAAACATTACTCTGAAGTCTCTGGCCCAAGTCTTGCCTGGGAGACCTTTGGGAGACCATCATCCCTCAGTTAAAGACTTAGAGACAATTTTACCAACAAGAGAAACTCAAGACAGCTTTGTACTTGCTCATCATGAGTGCAACTGTGGAAATCTGGGTACATGTCAAAGATTCTGCATTCTACAGGAAATCCTCTCCAAAATGCTGTAACCTGGTTGTGCTGCACTGAGGCAGTCATAAATCTCTGATGAGACTTTCCCAAGAAAAAACAACCAGCCTAACAGGTACCCACCCGCCCCCATCCCAAGGCCCTTTCAGCCTCTCCATATTTCCCAGTGGATTATGGGTTCAATGTCCTATGCCCTGTTCAGGCGGCATTAATGATGATCTATTCTATTTTCTGGTGGAAGTTTGTTAACCCAAAGGAAGCAGAGTTAGGGCTGCTAAGTAAGAGGAATAAGAGGATTGACTCAAGGAAACAGGAAAACTAAGGTTTTCTAGTTCAAAACTGGAGGAATGAATTGAATTGTATACTTTTGGGCTATGGAGTGTCCCAAACCCCACCAAGGACATAATTCAGGTACTCACCCCTTCGCCGCCATTTTCACCTGTGTTGGCAAGCATTTCCTGGAGGGCTCTGACAGAGAGGGACTGTTCCAGTACAAAATTGCAGACGCAGAGATCTGGAGGAACATACTGTGGAAATAAAACCAGAATGAGGATACCTACTCACATCAGTTGGGGATCAGTCACACAATAACATCTCAAGGGCAAAGAGCCTATGAATCAAAGTAACACTTGGATCGATGGATGGATGAATGAGTACAAAAAGGTAGCTTTTTTTTTTTTTTTTTATTCACGTTAAAATGGGTTTCAAGCTGGATGCTAAAGGATGAGGAGAAGAAAAGCCCTGCATTGGGTCTTTGTTACTCTGTGCAGGTTTTCTCTAGTGGCGGCGAGCGGGGGCTACTCTTTGTTGCTGTGCGTGGGCTTCTCATTGCGGTGGCTTCTCTTGTTGCGGAGCACGGGCTCTAGGTGCACGGGCTTCAGTAGTTGTGGCACGTGGGCTCAGTAGTTGTGTGTGGCACACGGGCTTAGTTGCTCCGCGGCATGTGGGATCTTCCCGGACCAGGGCTTGAACCCGTGCCCCCTGCATTGGCAGGCGGATTCTCAACCACTGCGCCACCAGGGAAGCCCTAGACTATTTTCAGTCAGCAAAGATTTCAGTTTTATATTTAGGCAAAACACAGTGCTTGGTATTGAGAAAGATATAAAAACATGCAAAACAAAATCAATGCTCTTCAGGAGTTTACAATCTGGTTCCACGATACATCATTTTCTTCGGGAATACAGCTTACATTCACCTTGCACACCAAGCCTTTGTTTCCTCTGTGATACTGGCTGAACGATGACACCATCAGAGTAACAGGAATAAGCAATGAGGGCCAGAAGTCACCAACAGCTACGTCTAACACTCCAAGACAGGTAACACTGTCTCTATGGAGCTCCAACTTAAAAGCTAAAAGCAAGCCTGCTATTAAAGCACATATAACCCCTCTGATTTTCGTTTTTTAAATAAAGATTATGGAATTGGCGATCTTTAATTTCCCTTTAATTTCCAAGTGTTTGTATTTGTACCTTTCTCCTCCTCTTCCCCAACCTCAATGCCCTCAAAAATAAAATGATGTCCCACTTGTTGGACCTGCCCACTCTTTC